AGATGAACTTTTTTCTCTGTGAACGCCTCTGGGACGCTCTATCACCCCTATTTAGAAACTCAGACTCACTTCTCCATTTCAAATCACAACTCAAAACTCATCTGTTTAAAATTGTCTATTATCTTTAATATTAATTTCCCTTTCCCAGCCTTTGTGTTTTTTAAATGGTTTTATTTTGTGTTTTGACTTTGTTTCTTTTTATCTTTTGTATGTGACCTTGAGTATCTAGAAAGGTGCCTTAGAAATAATATGTATTATTATTTTATTACTATTACTTTGATGGGGGTACCCATTTTTTTTATTATAAAAAAGACAGTAAAACAATATATATATATATATTTTTAAATCAGCATTTTATACTTCTATACTATCAAAAACTGTGTGTTTAAAGAGTGGAGATGGTTTAAAGTCAGATGAGAGGCGTTTGAGTCACTACCTGGAGGCATTTGCAACGGGTTGAAGCCAGGTCTCATGAAAGGAGGAGGGGGGATGCCTGGAGCAAAGCCAGGTGGAGGCATCCCGATAGGACCAGGAAATACCGGGGGTTGAAGAGAACCCATACCAACCATTGGCTGCTGCAAAGAGGGCACCTGACAAAATGTATATGCAGGTTAAAAAGCTGTCACAGTGCAATGTGAAAGTTTAACTAGACTAAATAGAAAATAAAATTAATCTGTCAAAGAAGCAGTGATAAGAGCTAAGTGTGGGTCCATTAATTCATTAGGGGTTGACAAAGATTAGTAAAAACATCTTTAATATATGAGAAAACGATACAAGCTTGAAACATTTTTTGTTTCTTACTTGTACAGGAGGAGCAGCAGTAACAGCCATCGGTAAAACCTGGGTTTCCTCAGGCTGCTGTTGCTCAGAACGGCCATTATGAGTGAGTTCTTCAGGGTGGTCTGAGCTCTTTCTCACACTAGTCCAGTCTGCAAAGTCAGGCAATGATAGAAAATAACTCAATTAATCAAAGAAAAAAATAAACCTTCCAAACTGTAAACCTGAGGAATATTTAATCAAACTTATTCAGATAAGCTTATTTCACATTATTTCAAGAGAATAGCAAAAAAAAAATCCCTTTATTTGCCACAATGGGAAAATTCTGGACATATGTACATATCAACATATGTAGACATATGTAAATGAAATTTGCTTTTTAACCTGCATTAATTTTGGTAACATTTTAAATGAGACAGGTGTCTCCAGGTTCTGTCATCTACATCACATGTGCTCAGTGTGAACTAGCTTTCATCTGTGAAGAGCACAGTACGCCAGTGGTGAATTTGCCAATGCTGGTGTTCTTTTGCAAAAACCAAGCATTAGCACGGTGTCATGAGCACAACCCCCATCTGTGGATGCTGGGTCCTCACGCCCTCCTCATGGAGTCAGTTTCTAAAAGTTTGTGCAGACACATGCACATTTGTGACCTGCTGGAGGTCATTGGGCAGAGCTCTGGCAGTGCTCCTCCTGTTCCTCTTCGCACAAAGTTGGAGGTAGTGGTTCTGCTGCTGGATTGTTGCCCTCCTACAGCCTCCTCCAGGTCTCCTAGTGTACTGGCCTGTCTCCTAGTAGACCCTCCTGCCTGTGGACACTACGCTGATACACAGAGTCCGTAGAGTCCATTTCATGCTACCACAAGTGTAATAGCATCCCCAACATTCAAAAGTGACCAAATCATCCGCCAGAAAGCATACAGGTAGGTAGTGAGAAGTGTTACGTGGTCCCCATCTGCAGAACCACTCCTTTATTGAGTGTGTCTTGCTAATTGCAGTAATTTCCAACTGTTGTCTATTCCATTTGTACAACAACATGTGAAACTGATCGTCAGTCAGTGTTGCTTCCAAAGTGGACAGTTTTGTTTCACAGAAGTTTGAATAACTGCAGTTATACTGTGTTGTTTACATGTTCCCTTTACGTTTTGAAGAGTGCATATATATATATATATATATATATATATATATATATTTATATTGGTGAAAACAAAGCACAAAAACATTCAAAACTGTAAGCTCTGGTGGCAACCAAAAATTTCAGGGACATGAAATCTGGGCCAGATTTTCACATTCAAATAACTATGTTCATATTGCAGCAAATAAAACAATGATATATACATTGAGGGATGGGGAAACACTGTGTCCAGCAGCTTCATTAGACAAAAGAATAGTCCTGTTAACTTTCGACAAATCTACCCAACAGAGAACATGTCTTCTGGTTGAGTATCACTTAAAAACAAACTTTAAGGTTTATTTTGTTCCTTCTAATTTAACGCCTTCAACATATTTATTTTACCTGGTGATAAGGTATCCATATCCAGCATCCCTCCCTCTTTGAGCTCTGCTAACTGGTCCTCTCTGACTTTAGACCAAGGTATGTAGGTGACACCAAGCTCCACGTCCCAGTACTGCTTAAAATCTGGCTTTATACCTTTGTTTAAAGCCCAAGCAATCTGGTAGGAAATAATATGATTTTAATTCAGATTTTTTTTTTTCAGACTTTAAACATGTGAAAAAAAAAAAAGGTCAGCCCACCTTTATTGCTTTCTGGTTAACTTTATACAATCCTCTGCTGAGCTTCTGCAGTGCTCTGAAGGCATCCTGCCTGTGTATCATGACAATGTAAGCACAGCCACGTGGAGGAATCATCTGGAAAATGAGGGGAGAGAAACAAAATGTGTCACTTGATTTCAACCAGAGAGATTGAGATTTATTCAGTTTGAAAATATGAAAGGCTCATTATATAACATTTATCTTGTCATTAGTTTAAACATTATATATTTACCAAATTAGAAGATTTTGATTTAGCAAAGTAAATTTATACAAAAATATTAACATTTTAAACAAACTTTGATACGTCAGTAATTTATTCATTAAATCATTAAGTTAGGGCTGCAGGATATCTGGAAAACTCAACATTAATGCAGAATATAACCACACCTGCAATAAAGCATACTAAAAAGGTCACACAATACTGTTAAAGTCCATCCAAATATTATTGTCATTAAAAAAGTGTTGAAGAAATAGAACCGTGATCACAGTCTACATCATGCTGAGCAGCTCCAAGTTAAACTAACATGAGGTGCTTCACTGATTAAAAGCAAAGAAAAATGTCTGCAAGGAACAATCGACTGATATAACAGCAAAACTTTAATGAAACAAGGTTTAGCTAAACCCATACTATCAACTTTTTTTTGCCTGTATAAGAAGCTATTTTCTTCCTATGCTTTATACCATTTGGCTTATATGAAAGGCTTTTCAGTGTATTTTTTCCTTACCACCAGGGGGCGGAAATCAAAGTTGGAAATGATAGAATAACGGGCTAATTTTCATTTAGCACACACACACATTAAAGCTGTCAAACCAATCAAGAGACGGGGCTCAACTCATGCAGAGCTGAAATAAAGAGCTAACAAAGCCACATCTTTCATTATAAGCCTTACTGCCTCGAGCCAACAAGACACCGGGAGCTAGCATCCTTCTTCATCTATACTATAGCGGTGTTAAGTAGAGGTCCCCCTACAGGTTTGATGGTGAACATTTCAGATACCAGCTGCTTATATCCAGGTGCAGCTTATATTTGTACTTTTGCAGGGTTTTTTTTTTTTTTTTTACTTAGCGGGTGCTCTTTATAGTGAGGTGTGCTCTGTAGTCTGGAAATTACGGTAGCTTTTTTCCTAGATGTAGACAACATCGTATGTATCTATTACTGAGCTGTTACTCTTTTACAAGTTTTTTTTTTTATCATTTCATGGCTTCCTTAAGAAAATAAAAAATGAATGAATATGAAATAATAATAAAAGTCTGAACTACAAGAGCTGTCTATAGGCAAGGCCCTAACCAAGAAACTAACTCCTATTTACACCAAAAATCTGCGATGTTCTGCTGACCTTTATTGCAATGTAGGCAGTAACAAACCCAAATGACAACATGAACTAGATATTTTGAGGCTTCCTTCCTGATGATAATTTTTAGCCCTGACAGAAAACTACCATATGGTCTTATCAAGAGGTAAAAGTATTTATTTAACAATCAGTTCTTTTATCATGCCTTTCTGATATATATATATATATATATATATATATATATATATATATATATATATATATATATATATATATATATATATATATATATAAAAAACAAAAGAAGGACATAGGACAGTATGTACAATAAGTAAAATAGTAAATGACAAAACACAAAGGTTATCATTTCAAGCTGAAATATATTACATCTAAATGAACCCACTTACATTTATCGATTCAATCTGTCCAAATTCTTCCAGCAATGAGGCGACATCTTGCTGCTGAGTTCTCTTGTCCAGCTGACCCACCCACAGTGTTGTACTACAAACTGAAAATTAAAGAGGAAAATAAACCATTTACAGAATGAAAAAATTACAGGATTTATCTGGGAAGAAAATCTATTATCTTTAACCTAGAAGGAAAAAAAAAAAAAAAAAAAGAGCATGAATAATAAATACATTGATCCATAAACCAAACAACGACTCACTGCTTAGAGTCTCGCTCTTAGGTGGCGGAAGGCCTTTTTGCCGGCGCTCTCTTTCTTTCTCTCTTTCCCGGCGCTCCTGCGAGCGAGAGCGTGGTGAATGGTGACGGCGGTCTCTGGAGCGGGAGCGAGATCGCCTGTGCCTGGACCGCCGGGATCGGGAGCCAGATCGAGACCTTCTCCTCTTCGGAGATCTGTGTAGCGGGAAACAAAGGACACTTCGTTACTAGGAGAGGTTTTTTTTAGGAGAAATACATATGTATATATTTAAAAAGAGAATTTTTAAGCAGAAACACTTCGCATTTCTTTCAGACATGTACCTCGAGCCTGAACGGGACCGTCGGCCAGGTCGGCCATCTCTCATTGAAGAATGGTCCATATCACCTGCAGATTCCTGATTGAAACAAAGATAAATCAGTCAGTAACTTGCTGCATAACCAAATCTTGAAAAAAATACTTTGTTTCATTTATCTAAAAACCCATGGCATTTGATTTGTTTTGGGGTTTTTTCTCCAATAAAAACCAAAGTTACAGAAGACTGTTTGGATGAGATAAACAAAAGAAAAAAACCCTGTTGACCAGAATTTCATGGTTTTGACCTAGATCAACCAGGCCAGAGGAAGATTGGAACACTCTGGTGGGACTGTTACAGTGAAGATTCAAACTTTGCTTTATCAAAATGTATTTAAAAGGAAACCGTTTTTCAGAACATATTCATAGTTTATTCAAGCTAAGATAGAGAGCTAACCTCTACGAGAAGCAGGCAATGTAAAAGAAGTAAAGCAAAGTTGCTCTGTCTCATATTTTGGCTTTATGCTCATGCTAACGATTGGAAATTTAAGCATCAATTTAGAATTCAAAAAGCTGGGAAATGGCTCCACACAGAGGCTGTTGTTTACATGATGCTATCAATGTTAATTGTTCAAATAAAATGCTAAAAACTGCTTTTTTTATGTAACCAATATTCTGTTGAATTTAAATCATATTAAAAGCATTTCACAGAAGCATGAATTCACATCTGCTCCTTATATAATTACAGCACTTTTTATGTCTCAAGTTTTTAGCTTCTATTTTGCAGCGACGTTAAGCGTACCTGTTGTTGCTGGATAGAATTTTGAGGGGGGTATACCCCTGGGAAGCCTGGATGCCCAGCTAAACTGGGCAGGGGGTGTCCAGGAAGAGAATGACCCATCGTTGGCATAGCAATAGGGAAGCTTTGTCCAGGCAGAACACCAGCCTGCAGCTGGCCGTTAGGAGGCACAGGAACCTAAGGAAGACATGTAATTACTATGCAATGCCAGTCCTAGTGGCTGTACATCAGAATGACAGTTGTTTTTCCCTTTTTTTTTATCCATATTTATACCCTTTTCTTTCGCCTTCTTACAAGCGGTCCTACATTCCCACAAAGAACAGAAACATAAACTGGACCAAAATGGACTAACTGGGCTCCTTTTATGTTATGAAAAGGCTAATTTACTGATTATAAATTCAGAAAAGTGTAGAATCGGTAATCTTGCAACACAGACCCCATATCAATTAAGATGAGAATTAACCTCAGTGCACACACAGATTAAAAACAAATCTATGAAATATTCCTGACTGACATATTCTGGCTATTTAATAACATTAAATCTACCACTGTTTTATTACAAGAGATTAAAATCAGAAAAAAATTACAAAAGTTCTTTATGTACATCAAAAATATTTATACCACATGTATGGTAAGGAAGGGCAGGGCCATAGATCAATATAAATTAGGGCTGAAACATTAAATTGCAATAATCGAGATTAATCAATCATTTAAATAATTGTCAACTAATTTAGGAATCGATTAATCATTAAATGGAATATAGAGACTGTAAAACTTGCCTTTAGCTGACAGAGGCACCCACTTAGAGCAGTAACTATACTAACATTTTTTACATATTTAAATATTTTGCATTTAAGATACAACGCAAATCTTTTTTCTTTTGTCAATATGCTCTATCTATAACACAAATGGAAACGTTTTATTTTCACATGGTTTAATTTCATAGAAATTAAACCATGTTTCATAGAAATTAAACCATGTGAAACCAAATCATTTGATTACCAAAATCAATCGATTTGTAAAAAACTCCTTTGTCACAGTGCTAATATAAATATTGCAATAGTAAGCAACAAGAGATGCTTTACACAAAAACTGTTTTTTGTGAATCCATGAGATTATACTCCTCCTATTTCATTCCTTCAGAGAAGCTTCATTGAATTCTATCTGTTGAGCTTAATTCATTTTTACTTTCTTTTGGGACTGAGACCCAGGGAAATTCTCTTATATTTGGTTAAGTAGATGGGATCACAAGTCAACTTAGCGAGGACACCTCCCCAAGGACTGTTTTTCCCGCTCAAATTGTTTTTTCCCCCTTCCTTTTCCCTTCACTGTTATCTTGTTACTTCAGAGAAACAGGGCTTTCTTTTTAAATAACAATTACGTAACTTGTTCATTCAGTAAAAAAAAAAAAAAAACATTTTTATTTACTCTTATAAAAAGTGATCTCGTTCATTCAGCAAAACAGAGATTATTTGTTTTTGTAAAAATTTTCATATTAATTCAGAAAAACACAAATTAAGTTTATTTCCAAGGTGAATGCAATACGTTCCCCTAGCTACCCTATCATGTTCTTTTTCTGGGTGGATCATCATAATATGTGGTCCTCCTAATTATCATCATTCTGGTGAGATGTTTACGTAAGGCCGTCCTACGTGCTTGTTCCCATTTTCACTTACAAGTGGTGAGTCTGAGAGTGGAAAAACTGCAAATCTTCTTTTGAAAAGTAAGCTTGTATGAGCAATGCAAACAGCAACTTTTAAACAGAGCGTGCACAAGGAGAAATGGGATCGTCCATGCTCTCGAACGCATTTAATAGAAGTTCCCTCTCAGGAGCAGGTACAGGGTCGTGCTTCCAAAATTTTTTTTAAGTGGAGAGGGCAGGTCTTTTCAAAAATTCACAACAATCCTCCTCGATGCCTTTAAGTTGAAAATAGGATTATAGTTTCAACCAAGGCTTTTTTCACCCCTGTCATTATTTTAAAAAATGATAACAAAACACTAATCAATATTAATTACAACTTGATGAAAGGTTTATATCGTGATACACTTTCCAGCAGCATCGAGCAGCCGTGTAATTAAGATTGCTGTGCTTCATTTCTACAAAGTGAGCGTCACACCTTGAAACCTTGGGTGTTAAATAATTATCAAAACAAAATCGGAGGAGCGTGGCCTATGGGTTAGGGTATTGTGCTTGGAATGTAGAGGGTCTGAGTTCAAGCCTACTACCAAAGATTGCCACTCTGGTTCCTTGAGTAAAGACCCTTAACCCCACATTGCTCCCCTGGGCGCTGGCCAATGGCAGCCCACTGCTCCCCAAGGGGATGGGTTAAATGCAGAGAGGGAATTTTGTTGCAATGTCAATAAAAAAGCTGTTAAAAAATAAATAATAAAAATACTCTAATGTTTGTTACAGAACTAAACAGTACTACCTGTTGTGAGATGTCTTGTGAGATGTTCATCATCTGTGTATTAAAGTGCTCCATGTGCTGAGGGAAGGCTGGAGGCTGTTGCATACTGTGAGGAGACAAATCCATCATATTACTCCCACTTACTGTCTTTGCATATTGGTTGGGGTTAAACTACTCCTAAAGCCCCTGTCACACCTTAACGATTTAGACCAGCGTATGCCTGATGTACGAAAAACCTGACAAACATACATTGGATAAGTTATAGGTACGTGTTTCAGCACGCTGACACACGGCGAGTACTGCGTCCGACGTATGCCAGCGGATGCCATGCGTGGGGCATAGGTTCAGGACTCGTTATGAATACGCTATGTATACGCCCAAAATTGAGAAAATACATAGAAAGTTCAGCGTGTGCTAGCGTTTAAGGAGATTCTGAGACATCAGGCATATGCTGGCTAAATCGGCAAGGTGCAACAGGAACCTAAGGAGACTGAAGACCCACAAAGTATGCTGTGAGGATGCTTCATCCTTTTTAGGTTCTTCTCCAACATCTGGTTCATCATCATAGTCAAAACGGTCCAGCAGTTTCTAAAAAAGGAAAAAAGACAAGTCTTAAATGACATTCATTTAATTTTCTTTTTAACCGAACTCAGAGTTGTAAAATCTCTACAGAGTCTGAAAACTTTTTCCCCCTCTTTTACCAACCAACAACCAGAGGCTTTTCTTAGGATTTTGTTTGACAAACAGAATATAGGGGCGGCTGATTACCGATTCCTGGTCTTTAAAAAAGCCTGACATGATGATTTCTTAAATAAAAACAACGTCCATCGAGGCCTTTAAATTGGTGCACCCCTGATAAAGTAGTTAATAATTTTGAAGTGGAAGACAAAAAATTATGCAGTTTCCTGACGTTTAAAAAAAAAAAAAACCCTGTGTGAAACATGTGGCATGGTTTTCTTTTAAAGTTTTTTTAATGTTTCAGGATTAGCTACATTCACCTTCATTTATCTTACCATCAACTTTGACCAGTTCAATAGCCCACATTATGATACTGCCGCCGCTATGTTTTAAAGTAGTGATGATTTCTTCAGTTACCACACAGACAAAATAAAAAAAAAAATATGTATAATTTTTTGAGAATTCCACAAGCGTATTCTGTGCTCCCTTTTTCATGTAACCAACTAAAGAGTGGAATTTTTTTTGGCTATATTGAACTAATGACCATGTTCATGTGTCCTGGCTTGTTGCAGTTTGGTCACTAATGTCCTCTGAAAAACATCTGAGGCCTTCACAGATCCCTTGTATTCAGATTAAGTACAAGTTGCTCACAGGCAGACAGACCAATGCAGAAGATAATCTGTTGCTCTGTGTTTATTACAGAGAGGTGGGATGAACAAAAATGTGGGTTTTCTGATATTCATTTTGCAGAAAGAAAAAAAGGTCATTGCATCAACCAATTCCAAATTCTGATATATGTTTGTGTCCATGGAAAAAAAAAAAAAAAAACACAATGTAATTTGATTTTGTGGCGTAACTAACAATGAAACCTTCAATAACTATAAAAACTGTCACCGTGTCAAAAGTAGACTTTTGCTGGACGGGCTGTGCGTGGTGGGTGGGTGGAGGAGGCTGTGGCGAGGGAACGGGAGGTTGGGGAGCAGCTGCGGCCAGGCCTGTGGGCACACTTTGGGCCGCCGTTTGAGCTGTCGACGGAGGAAGCTGAGCATTAGCTTCAGGTTTCACCACCTGCTGCTGGAAGTTCTGAAGCATCTGCTGAAGCTAAAAAATACAACACATCCCAAAGTGTTAAGAAACATTTAAGTATCAGAAAAGAAAATAAAGAAAAGAGGCTTGTTTTTCATGAGCTCAATCCATCACACCTGCTGTCCCTGCGTGGACTGGAAGAGCTGCGCTACAGCAGCGAGGGCATCGGAGTTATGCAGCGGAGGAGCGGGTGTTGTTGTGGAGTTAGCTGTTACTGCATTTATGGGCTCTTTGGCTGGAGATGGTGGAGAACCTAAATAATCAGTGGTACAATCACGAGCTTGTTTGATCAGAATAACGTTACCAAGGTGAAATTAAACTTTCATAAGTAAATTTTTTTTTTATGTTTTAAAATAATTCCAAGCTACCTGGCTCTTCTGCATTTGTGATGGAAGCAGTACCACTGCCAGAGCCAGCAGCCATGTCCAAGAGCGGCTGGATAACCTCGATCTTAAACACTCCGTTCTTCTGCCACAGGTTCAAAACCCGCACAATCTTGCTCTACAAAACCAGAAGAATAACAAATATTCCATATTCCAAATTTTTTTAGCCTTTCAAAACTAATTCTCCATTCTTACCCGGTCCTCTATTGGGCAGAGACAGAGGTTCTCGAAGGTTCCTGTGATATTTTTGGTGAACCTTGGACCAAACACGTCTTTGTCTGCTCCAAATTGGTGCCTGGACTGCCTCACAATGGAATCCACCACATACAAGCCTGCGACTTTATACTCTGGCTTACACTGGGGGGAATCAACAGGATGGAGGAACTCTGATGTTAGACACTTATGATTGCTGAGAAAAAAAATGCTTTGTAAATAAATCTCAAACATCCATCTCACCTTTTTAATAAACTTTTCCACAATCTGAACTACGTGTTTGTAGAGCTGAGAGAGGAGATTGTATGAGTGTTTCAGCTTAATATAGACTCAAAAATAAGTCTAAATAACAGGTAATATAAAAAAATAAAAACAGTAAAAACACGAGTAAAATAATAATGTTCTTACCTTCATAGCTTTTATGGCTGATTTGGTGATGGAGATCATCTTAGCTCGAGATATAGGAGGCTTGGAGTCCATCAAGGAGAATAACTGCAATAAATAAAAACTTTATTTAAATTCACATTTCCAACCTTCATGTTGCGCTGCATGTGGTGTACTTTAATATGTGATTTCCATTTCTAAAGTAAACATTTCTTTCTCCAAACATTTTGTTTTTGTTGCTGCTATTTACAAATAAAGAATATTTTATATCTGTTTGAGGTTTTTATCCATAAAGACAAATATGCTTCTTAATTTTTTTATAAGGCAACAGGAATAGTGAAATCTGATAGTAAAAGTGAGTTATTACTAAAAAAGATGGCTCCAAGAATACAGAAAAATAAATAATCAAGGACAAGTTAGGTCTGAATCCATTAATAGTTAGGACAGGATAGCACTGAGATACATAACATGATATAGCATGAAGAAAAACACCAGGTTTCACTGTATCATTATGCTGGCAAAGGTTCTCAGTCATCCAGGTCATAGCCATTCCAAAAAAGTTAAAAAACAATCCACTGGACTTATTTCCAAGTTTTAAAACATTTCGCTTCCCATCCAGCATTTTCTTTAATTCAAAATGTCAGAATTAGAAAAATCTTTGCCAATTCTGACATTTTCTTCCTGGATAGGAAGCAAAATGTCTTAAAACTTGGAAACAAAGAGTCCAGTGTACTGTTTTTTGTTGTTTTTTTTACTTTTTTTGAACACTTTCATTATCTTCCCTTCGAAATTAAAACAATTAAGAAGTGGAGCTCCTTTAGTATCAACATCATTGCAATCCATTTCTCTCAGGAAGGGGAATGACAAGCAAGGGAGAGGACATGCAGCCATGTTTCACAGGTCATGACTATAACCTGAAGCAGCACAAATACAGGTGTCAAGTAACGAAGTACAAATTCTTTGTTACTGTACTTAGGTATACTTTTTAGGTGTTTATACTTTACTCCATTACTTATTTTTCTTTCTACTTCTGACTTCTACTCATTACATTTTCATACAAGTATCTGTACTTTCTATTCCTTACATTTTTTAAACAAACATTACTCTTGGCTTCGGCTTTATGTTTATAAATATTTATTTCATGTCATGTGCACCATCCAATGCTGATCATTGGCAGCATCCACATCTAGTGAAAACTAGTGTAATTGGATGACTCATATAATGTAAACACTCATTGGTTAGCTAAAGGAAATCATCAGAAGCAAGCAGGTGTTCTTCAAACTGCAAATGTGAGTTGTCTATGCCATGCTACAATGTCAGATTCGGAAAAGATGTTGAAATGTTGTCACAGGCAAGACCGTATCGGGAGATGGAGACAGAGACCAACAAGGCCTCAATTGAGAAATTGAGCTTTTAATTCATATAGTGGCATCTGGCGTTTTTTTTAAAGGTTACTTTATACTTTAAGTAGTTTTTGGAGCACATACTTTTTCACTTTAACTTGAGTAAAGAGGTTAAGCTGATACTTCAACTTTTACAAGAGTGTTTTTGAACTGCAGTATTTATACTTCTACTTAAGTAACAAATGTGTGTACTTTTGACACCACTGCCAACAACCAACCAGTTTATAATGCACACTGCCAGCCAGCTGGCTGAAAGCCTAGACTTTTTCTTCACGTATGAGAAACACAAATTTGGAAATTGTAAAGAACAGAATCAAAGTTTATAAATTTAAGGAGCGCCTAGTTTAAGTGCATCAAAAAGAAAAATTAAATTGTTCTTTAGGATAACACTTACATACGTCCTTTTTTTCTTAATTTCGTGTTTAAATAAGAGTTTATTGGGTTAATATTATGCTATCATGAACATGTAGTTACAATAACTATATCCAAAGTTAGGACACCCATGAGAATCTCCTGATATCTAACAATGCAAATTTGTAATAACAGTTGTAACTTTACTGTGACAAAAGAAAAGCCAAGCACCACGTGCTGAAGGGAATCTCTCATGCCTAACAGCAAAACATCCACTTCTATCATGAAGAATGGGACTCAGAAATTACAACTACAAATACGCTCAGCATAGCACAGCAGAAAGCTAAGACTGATTTGCCCTTGTATCCATGATCTGGGATTTTTGCAGCTTTATTGTCGCCTCTTAAGAAAAAAAATCAATACTGCAATAACTAGAAGGATCATATGATTCACAATAACAAATTAGCTTAATATATTGAAGGATGTAAAAAGGCTGAATTAGTTTTTTACAAGGGGTGCTGCTTTCTTAACCGTGGGGCAGTGAAAGGCTCACCGAGGTCCCAAGCAGAAACACTGCATGTTCTCACTGGGCTTCCAGCATCATGAACAGGCCTCACAGAAACATATTCAATCTGCTCTTTAGGAAATACTTTACGCGTCCCTTTCCAAACTAGCAACAATGAACTTCTGTACATCTACTGTCCATTCATATAATCATGTTACCTGTGAGCTATGCTTGCTAATTGTACTGTTACAAGTAGCAGTGTTTGGGACGACTCACTCCCACCAGTTAGCATCACGGGGGATCCTGGTATCTGTGTTTACTTTGTTTTTCTGACATATCTGAGCTGCTTCCTACACGAATAAGATGTAAAACCCTGCAATGCAGTGTTATATTCTCTTAGTTGATAGAAAGAAATGTTAACATTAACCCGATTTTAATAACATCAATAAAGTCCAACCGCTAGCAGGCCCTGTAGTCCGACCTGTCAGTTAGCATCACAGCAGTACTACTGTAGACACATCCACCACCCACGGTGACTTCATACTCTCGGCGAGCCCAAAATGCAGCTTACCTCCTGATTAAAGGCGTTCACAGCCTCCATGATTGCCGGATACACCTGACCTCTCCTGTAAATACACCCAATTCCTGTTAAATATTATGTTTATTCGAGGGAAGGACGGTACAACATGTCCGCTCCCCTCTAGCTAACGCCAGTTAGCCTCGCGTTGGGTCGGCGGGCACCGCAAAGCATGATGGGATTCAACGTTGTCCTTATTGGGTTTGTCCACTAGGTGGCAGCGTGCTTCTAGACACTGTGGTACCTCGAAAAAAAAAACATAGATTAACATACATCATAAAAAATATTTTATGTTCAAACCCCAAACTACAGTGTTACATGTGGGGATTATTTTATGTCATATCAAAACAAAACATAGCAGATTGGTTAGGTGGAAGAACGTTTTTATATACTATTATAACGTTTTTAATTATATACTGCCAAATCACAATATATGTAATCTCAAGGCACTTTACAGAGACAATTCAACCACATCATACAGTCAGATTGGTTCAAAGTTTTCAGTCTCAGGAAAACCTGATGATTGTATCGACTCATTGACTCGAAAGCAATCCCTCACACCTTTTAACAGGAAGAAACCTCCTGTATAGCCAGGCTTAGTGTGAGCAGCCATTTGCTGAGGCCGACTGGGGTTCAAGCAGGCTCAGACTGGGAACGATTTTCGGCCCTGGCATTTTTTCCTGCGAATAATGTAAACAGATGCAAAACCCCATAATGCACGGGAACATATTTTTGCAAAATATTCCAACATTAATTCACCAAATATAAGAGGAACATCGCAGTTTGGTTTAAGGAAAGCACTTTAGTTTTATTATAATTTAGTTTCTTGCAAGGATTTTACAGTTTGAAGAAATAGAAAATTACACCATATGCCAACCATCACAAGGATGTGCATGACAAGGAAGGGCTATATATGCTGCATGCATCATTTAGATAATTAACATGGTATCACAGATTACCAGTCTGAGCCTGGATTTTAAGGAGACAGAAGCAGAAATAGAAAAAGAAGCAGAGATACAAAAGGCAACTGTCAACCAGCTCCACAGACAGCCCAATCCAGGAAACACACAGCCAGGCAGATGAGCTTCAAGCCAGCTCCATTATCAGAAGATGAAAGAGAGCACATACAGTTAGTCACAGTCAGAGAAACAGGTACACTGAAAAACAGGCCAAGCTTTAGCATCTATAAACAAAGGTGTTGATGGCAGCAGCACAGCTGATATTTCTCTCCAGGGTGGTGTTCCAGCCAAACACGATAAGACCAGATCAAACTACTATGATGGGGAAAAACAGAGAGAGCATAACGTTAGAGATTGAACTAACAAATACTGCTAAAGGGGAATTAAGCAGAATGATTAAATCTCCATGTCCTCCAGCATATTAAGCCTCTAGCACCAGAAATGCAGAAGTTATGAGAGTTATAAGAAAGGCTGAGCCACAGAGGGACCCAGGTAGAGCCATGTGGAGATAAACCTACCTGAATGTCATTCCAAACTCAACAGGCTGGGTGGGAAGACCAAAAATCAGAGAAACATGGTAACTCAGAATGGGTTACAGAGATCCAGAGTGGGAAGTGGTGCTAATATGAAGTTAAGGACAAATATTTGACAAAAATATCTTTATAATTCAAAAAATTATTTCCTTGATTTATCATAATATATTACCCCAAAAAAATTCTCAAGGACATTTAGCCTGATACTGTACTAGTGCCATATAAATTGAAAATAACACTGTTTATTACTTTTAAAATACAGTTTAGTTTTTGTTGTTTTTTTAACTGTTAAATAATAGTAAATGATGGGCCTTAAACTTATGCAGTCAGTTAAATCCTGCCATTATTAAGCTGAAATGTATTCATAAACAGGGCAAGGTTGAATAATTATTTGACATTTATTTTTTTCTCAACCTGCATCTATCCAGAGTTTCTGCTTCATAACAGCATGATTCATTAATAAGAACAACTAAAACTGATTAACGCTGCATTTTTATTTATTTTTATTTTAACCAGGTAAAAAAATTATAATAATGTACAAAATAAATTAAATTTTATTTTCGATTTTATTTATTAGAGTCACTCAGATAAAGAACAAATTGATACATTGACTGTCTTTGTAAGCAAATATGTATAATAAATAGAAACTGTAGAATTCACAGTCCATCATAGGACTAGATAAAGGATCTCATAGAGCTAGGTTGCTACATACAAATCTTTTCTATGTACTAGGGAAAGGGAGAATGCTCCACTTGATTATTAGTACTTTAATAAAATATTTTTCTTACTCAGCTGAGGTGAAAGGGTTTTATATTAAACTTAATTAACTTAAAATGTTAAACCTTTCTGGAAAAGATTGATTTAATATTTAGATTTTTATATTCTTGTATTTACAGTTTGAACACAAACTGTAAATAATAAATAATTTTCAGCTGCAACAAATGTAAAAAAAATAAAATAAAATAAAAAAAAAAGCAGGAAAACCCACAGAACCTGGCTGATCTAAGGCCTCTGTGTTTGGGCATTCTGGATCCAGTGCTGTGCTTGGTAAGCTTAAACAGCCAAGCAGCAGGACTGGCCTGTCTGTGTTCTTCAAAAGTAGGCTCATAAACTTAATGAACTCACTGCACATATGAAGTTTTGAGCTACCTGCTTGCTTAAAAACATAATAAACCTACTTTTTGTGCAACCTAATTAACATGAGATGACTAAATGATAAGAAATGACTCAGTGACATGTTGACATTACATCAGTGGTTAGAGGTGAAATACAACCAGCTAACAGCAGCCTGACAGCACTGCTCTGCAGAACTCAAAATCAGATTTCAATGTCAAATATGGAAAGAGGTGTACAAATTATTTTATAAGATGTTTTATTTGTAGAGAAGCATTTTTTATTTATTTATTCTGTGTCAAATCATTGTATAGCTACCAACCAATTAGTTGTATTTTGCTTTTGTTTCTTCAATAAAATTAGGATTTCTCTGCAAGTGAAAGGGAATTTATTTACTAAATATCAGTTTGCATCGCCTTTTGGGTTAATAAAAAAAGACAAGATCTATGTGCTGAAACCTACATGCATACATTTCTCAGTGAAAAGATCAAATGAGTTGTTTCAAAGACAAATGGGGGTCTAATTGGTAATGTGCTTAATGTCCTTGTCTCCAAAGCCAAATGCAAAATTAATATTGATTTAGTTTCAAGAAGGCTGAATATGCGCTGTCTTTTGCTGCAATGCAACAAGTCTCCAACAGATGTCCTACTTGTATGGTTCATATTTTTATTATGTCTAGTGGAATATCTAGAAAGCGTGGTCCAGTATTGTAAAAATAGCATGAGATTCAGCTCAAACCTTTCTATTTAGAGATCCAAAAAGAGTAACTCTAGCAAGAAATCTAACAACATTAAATAGTTAAAAATAAAAGAAAACAATAAAAAAGTTCATAATAAAAATGTATGATTTCTAAAGAAATTGTTTGGGTAGGCCAAACCAATCATATAAAAAAAACACACACACACAAAAGAAAAGCAAAATTAAACAACAAAATTGTTAATTTAACTGGTGAATCTAATCAGCAAACACACAGATGGAATGAATATTTTTCTACCTAACACGCAATTAAATTAAATTGCACGTTATAGTTGATTAAAATCAGTAAAAATAAATTCAATTTAAAAAAAAGTTTCTATTTTTAATCATGAAAAGAGTGAACGTTTATTTCGCACAAAAATAAATGCTTATAATAAACAAAACAGAGGCTCGGGACGTGTCGCAATATTATCCAAATAGCGAATCAATAACAGATCACTCTACAGTGATATAAATGCATTCTTTGTTCCTGCACATGTACAATGTAAACGCACAGAGCGCAGCGGCGGGGCGTTGGTACCGGTAGACTTGTTGTTCCCCCTTGTTCTCATGCTCGCTCCACCCGCTCTGCGCTGATTGGTTGAAAAAGTACCACCGTGTCTGTCAGGGTGTTTCTGCCTTTTTTTAACCCTCAAAATTGGGTAGGGGAACGCCCACCTACAGGACCGGGAAAGTCACTTCAAACTGATAAACACGCTGCATGGCACACAGACCTTCCAGGAGACGCTCATGTGAATGGAGATGCGCGCACAGCCTCACTGCCTGCCTATAGTCCTCTATTTAAAAACTCTCTCATGCAGCTTATTAGAACTAGTTGCGTCAGATTTCCATGACAGATATTGTCTTTTTTAATGCTATGCTCCTTATGTCATATTTAAGCGGATACCGTTGTGTCGGAAACTGCTGAGCGCACAGGTTGGATCATTTTGGGTGAACAGGTGGCGCATGATCCAGCGCTCTTATTTTGCCGGACGTTAAGCGTTTAATTGGATACCTGCTATTAAGGTGGGTGAGAGTAGAGGTGCGAATTTTTTTCTCTCCCCTCCACTGCTCAGACAAAGCAACAGAGATGCCTGTTTCGGACCAAAACATGGGAACGGATAACCGGACGCACGACGGGGAGACCTCAGACAGCGCCGAGGAGGAGAGCACCTTCTCGGCCTCTTTAGGCAGCCCTGGCCCGGACGTCCTCAAGAACTTTTATCACACCAAGCGCGTGGGCACCTACCTGATTGGGAGGAAGCTGGGAGAAGGGTCTTTCGCCAAAGTTAGAGAGGGTCTCCATACTCTGACCGGAGAAAAGGTGAGACATAAACCTGGAGACACATGATTAATTCGACTAAAGGTAACTTCAGAATAAAACAACATTGAATGCATCTGTTTGTTTGTTTGTTTGGTTTTTTTTTGTTTTTTTTTGGAAGTTTTAAATCCCTAGAAGAGCATTTGTTTGGATTGATTGCAGTTGGGTTGTCAGTGCATTCCTTTATGCTGCACCAGCCACAAACAAAAATCAAACTTTTCAATATTAACTATAATTAATAATTGCATGATTTAGTTGTGAAATGCATGATTTCAGTATAAAGTTTGCAAACAGATGGGAGGCATACATTTCTTGTTTGTGTGTGTGTGTGTCTGTGGGGGGGTTATACTGGATAGGGATGGACAATTTATTATAGATTTAATTATAAGGTTACATTTGGCACAGGCATTTCTTTTTAAAGGGAGGAAACAAAACACTAGAGATTTGTTATCCCACTGCACTGGCACCTCTGATCAGCTCACTTCTACCTCTAAGAAAGTGGCCATCTCTGTTTGCAATGAGCTTCCTTTGTTAATGAGCTCATGTTGCAGCACCAGCTGCTGAGGTGTAGTGCATGCACAGCACTGAAGCTCCTCTGACAATATTTACCCAATGTGTTTGTTTCTCTGTGAGAGAGAGAGGGACTGAAAAGCATCTGCTATCCTGAGGCATTGGATAACAACTTGTGCACTGCTTTGTCTGCTGCTGTTGCTGGTGATCTCACCTTCTGCAGGCGCGCGTGGCTGTGATGGGGACGGAGGAGAAAATTGTCCAACCTATCAGGAAGCAGGGCTACTACTTGCATATGAAATCACCTCGTTGATAAATGAGCTATTGGGCTCATTGGGATTCTGCAAGCGCAGGGCTTTGATATGTGCAACCGTTGGCCAGTTATAGCCTTTGTCTCCCTTCCTTCAGGTTGTTGTTTTTTTAGGTGAAGCTGCCAGGAAAAAAATAATTTGCATATTATAATAATAAGCACCTCCTGTTTCCTGCAAGCTTCAACACGTAAAACCTCATGATATAACTTACAGGGCTTTGATACTGGCAACCGTTGGCCAGTTGTTGCCTTTGTCTCCCTCTTTCCAGGTTGTTGTTTTTTTCGGAGAAGCTGCCAGAAAAAAAATAATTAGTACGGTAGACTAATAAGCACCCACTATTTCCTGCAAATTGTAACGTGAAAAACCAGATTATATGACAATACAGTAAACATATGATTATTAATGAATACATAATTAGTCATCTCTGTCTCCTGTTTGCTCATCGCTGTCCGTTCTGTTGGTCTAAAGAGAAAAGGTATCACTCCTCTCCTCCCTTTTCCCCGCTCTCTTTGTTTAGGATGATGCAAACAGTGGTAATCTCACAACCAAGCACAGCTCTTCATTTGAATAGAAGCGTTCAACAGAAGCTGTGAGGGAGGGGAGGTAGAGCAGGCCAGTGAGTTTATTAAAGCAAAAGGGTATTCTAGGGCAAAGGAAAGGCATCAGGTCTCCCAGATTCTCTTTTTTTTAGCAATATTTTAAAGTCGTGTGAAAGTAAGGAGCTATAAATGATGGGGTCATCATGGTTACAGAGGTTAAAGAGATCACATGGGGGTGTTTTTGATATCCGTAACCCACTTTCCTCTCTACATTCCCCCTGTAAGACCCCTCCTTTCTGTCTGAGGGGTGCCTGATAAACAACTGAATCCCCCAGAAGCCCCCTGGCAGCTTTCTCCCTTCCCCCCTCTATACCCCACTCTGCCCTCCTCATATGCATCAGTGTAAATACAGTTTCCTACCCCATACATTCTCACACCCCCCTGTAACTGTCAAGTGAAGGCACATCATGTGTTTCTTCTTCAACCCAGGTTTAGCAACTGTAAAAAGGTTATTTAGAGTGAATTCAATTATCAGAGCATAAAAATGAGCTGAAGGATGGTCATAAAAATGAGCCAAAGGGGAGAAGGAAATGGAGGACACTGTTGCACTGTGTCACTAATGGATATGGTGATTTGTTCCACTTGCCATGCCGGTCCACGTCTATGGACTCTCCTTGAGATGATTTGTAATGTATGGGAAAGATGTTCTTGAACTCAGTCTAGACAGGGCACAAGGAGACTCACAACGAGGGGATGAAATATTTTTATTGAATACAATTATTTGCAAGGGTCTGTCATTGAACAGAGGACATGCCGTTTGCAATTTATGAGGACATCTTCAAGGATTTCTTATCAGTAGCTCAAGCAGTTATCAAAAACATAATTCTAAGAGGAGAAATGAAAAACAAGGAGTAAAAACCTGTTTGTCCTGTTGTGGCTTATGTCATGACTTCTCAAATTAGATTACCTACAATTAAACTTAAAGCAAATGGTGTAACTTCAACTGCCCATTTGGCTTTGGCACCTTCTCAGTACATAGGATAATGTTTGCTTCCCTTTACTTTACAACAGTTCAGTAACCTCTCCCACACTTATGTGCCTTCCTTCTCTGGGGCCTTGCATTATTGCACACCCTGAGAGCAGCTGTTTGGGGTCAGTGTCGAGTTATATATCCTTCACTGAGGATCAAGTCACTTCATCACCTGTTTCCCTTCATGAAATCCAACCTTAAGAGACATACTAATGCAGGAATGTCGTTTTGTTAACTCTCTACAGCATATGGCATGGGGCTTAACAGCCAAGGTTCAAGAAGAATCTCCTTTCATCCTCTTACTCTTTTCCCTTCCCTTCTTTGCCCCAGGTGGCGGTGAAGGTAATCGACAAGCGGAAGGCCAAGAAGGATTCATACGTCACAAAGAACCTACGGAGGGAAGGCCTCATCCAGGAAATGATTCGCCACCCAAATATCGCACAGCTTTTGGACATCCTTGAGACAGAGAACAGCTACTACTTGGTGATGGAGCTGTGTCCCGGCGGGAACCTCATGAACCACATTTATGAGAAGAAACACCTTGATGAGAGAGAGACTCAGAAATACATCCGGCAGCTGGTGCTTGCCGTCGAGCACCTGCACAGAGCCGGCGTCGTGCACAGGTATCAAAAGGACACATAAACAGTCAGTCATCTCAAGCCTGAAAGTATTGTGTTGTTCTTGTGTGAAAGATTGCTTTCAACATGTGGCTTAAACCCATTCTATCCACATGACAACACAAGAACATCCAGATATGTTGTACCCACACAGATTTGTCATTAAGGGTATGCAAGAGCTTGTCTATATAAGCTTAAAGCGCTGACTTTTCACTTAGCAAACAGTGGTTACGGCCAGTCAGTGTGCAATATTATCTGACGATGTATCATTTGATTTAAAGTTCTCACTTAATCAAGTCTTTATGTTGATCTTTCAAGTGCCTTTACAATATTATACTTATTCATCTCAGTGTACTTAAACATTGACTTTTTTAACAATGATATCCCTTCTCTTCGTCTTCTCCTTCTTCTTCTTCTTCTTCTAGAGACCTGAAGATAGAAAATCTCCTGTTGGATGAGCAGGACAACATAAAGCTAATAGGTAATGTGCTAAAAATATCAATTTCTTCACAAAACAGTCTGTAAAGGGTAGAAATAACAACTAAAATGTATTGATAATTATATGAGTCTTTATTACTAATGCGTGAACAGTCATAGGGGATTTTCTCACTTTGAGTCCGGTATGAGAGTTAGTGAGGTAAAGAGTTATGAGCTGTCAAACATCCTGGAAAAAGGCTTATAAGCTCCTGATGTGGTATTAACCTGCCTCGGGATGTTTGTGCAAAGCTGAGATAAACAAAAAACAAAAACCAGGAACAACATTCAACACACACTCTCTCCCCTCCCACCCCATTAGATTTCGGCCTCAGTAACTGCGCTGGCATATTGGGATACTCCGACCCCTTCAGCACCCAGTGCGGTAGTCCCGCCTATGCCGCTCCTGAGCTGCTGTCCAGAAAGAAATATGGCCCAAAGGTGGATGTTTGGTCCATGTGAGTTCGCTGTCATTTTTTTAGAACATGAATTTACCTGTTGTTTTTATCTGTAACCCAGAATTTAACTATGCACTTTTGGTCTTCCAGTGGCGTCAATATGTATGCAATGCTCACCGGGTCACTCCCTTTCACTGTGGAGCCCTTTAGCCTTCGAGCTCTGCACCAGAAGATGGTGGACAAGGAGATGAACCCCCTACCTCCTACCCTTTCCACTGGTAATTCAAACAAAACAGTCCAACTATTGAAAGCATTTACTGATCTTTGCTAAAGATTAGAAGCAAGATATAACAACTCAACTCAACTTTAATTATAAAGCAACCACAGCTGCCACAAAATGCTGTATATACAGTACCAAGGAAAGTAAAAAAAATGAGTTGAAACAAATACAACAAAACACAATAGCAGAGAAAGTCTAGTGCTGTGTTACAAGCCAAGGAATAAAAATAGGTTTCAAGATCAGTTTTAAGAATAGACAGATAGCTAGATTCATTGTTCCAAAGGCTCACGCTCACAGTTCTATTGGAAAGAAAAGACCTGAACCAGTCCAGTCAGGTATAAGTAGGGTATAGCTACCTTATAGTCTAATAAACTTCTGTTTAGTCTGATTCAGATTTTTGAGAGCCTGTTTTTATTGGCACTGTTTCTTAAGAAACCCAAATTGCTCTCATAGATATGATTACATGCACGCAAACAAAGCAAAACATTTCCAGTGAAGTTGTGGTGCAGCAAGCATTCCTGCAGTTGCATTTCATTGGAGTTTCTCATAGGTTGTAGAGGGTGGTGGTAGAGATAATACCGGAGGAACCACTAAAAAAACAAAGAGCCAGTGACACTCATCACTCACTGCATGCCCAGACAATAATCCTTATCTACTTATCTAATATTCAAATTAAGGAATGACTTAACCCACTTACCAAGTACCTACTAATCACTGATGATTCAATGTTATAAAGCATCGAGGTTATATAAAACTCTGACGGTTATGGATGATGAAGAGAAGATTGACCCAGATGTTTTTAGAATTTGAATATAAGAGAAGAGTGAAACAGGTATAGGTGTTTTCGTTTTTCAGTGCCGTGTCAAGACAAACATATTTTTATACATGTTATGACATGGTTAACTTTCAGGAATCTTGGCGAACACTGACAGCACCTTAACATTTATTCCTCTTTACCCCCTCAGCTGCCATCTGCCTGCTGAAGAAGCTTCTCGAGCCAGACCCTCACAGGCGTCCAAATATAACTCAAGTGATGACTGATTCCTGGCTGCAGCTGGCCAACAGGAACACAGGGGCACCCTACCGCAGCAGGTACACCCAAACATGCAATTCCTTCACAACTTCTTCACATTTAGTCACTTTAGACTTAGACAACTTTTATTATCATTTTGTATACACAGAGTGTATACAAAAAAATTCGTAGCCATGCAATTCCTCCTCGTGGACTGTGGATATCTGTAGAGCCATAGCAGTTTTCAAGAGCGCCTTAGCTGCTCCTCTACTTATTACTTTAGTGTTTGCTGTGTCAAATTTGGTGGTCAGGCTGTAGGTTTATTATGTGTGTTATGCTCCTTCCAGAGAAAAATTCTCATTTGAGAATCCTCATTTATCAAATTTGCAGATGTTGTGCTTTACTTTTTGCTGGTCAATCACATACAATCCCAATAAAACATGCAGTCGTTTGTAGCTTTTATGAAATAAAAAAGTTACAGGAGTTTCATGCATTTCCTAGGCCTTGCACATTCAAAATTCAGATGTTAATTTGCATAAACTTTGCTGTTATAAAAGTATCACTAATCTGTTCTCTTTGTTTCAGAATCCACATCGAAGAAATAAATCAAACAGTTTTGCTTCATATGACTGAGAAGATGGGGTACAAGCACAGCGAAGTGCTGAGCGCTGTTCTCACCAACCGCGCCTGCCACACTCTGGCTGTCTACTTTCTTCTCAATAAGAAAATGAAGAGACTCTCTAAGGAGTATAGGGTAAGTAAAAACTATGGTTTACTGCTAGGACCTGTCACATAAATCAATCTGGAATCCCTTTGCACGCTGTTAATCCTTAGAAGAATTTTGACATAGTTGAACAACCTGCATGGCCCGTTTTGACAATCCGTTGCACTGGCTCTTTATTTTTAGGAGAAGCAGATGCAGGAGAAAAAGAAAGAAGAGAAGCGACAAGTTGAATACTTTCAAACACAATGGAGGAAACATGTGGATAAATTAACCATTCCACCGAAACAGACGCCTGTTTACCTGGCTGTTAGCAAGGGCCAGAACAAGGAGAAGAAACACAAAACAGGTGAGGATTTGCACTGTTTAATGCAAAGAAAAACCTTTTTATGGTTTTTGTATAATTTGGAAATAGGAAAAAAGAAAAAAAGAACATTTATTTCATCATTTGTTTTCCATTTTTTACATAGGGTAGGTTGACTGAGCATGCATCTTCATGTACTGCAACCTGTTTCACACATCCATACTTTCCCGTCCATGCAACCCTCCCTCCCTCCCTCCATCCATCCCTGCAACCATCTACATATCTACCTGAAAAGTAACATCCTGGACAAAGTTACAGCCATATGTGCAGGCATTTTATTATGATTGAATCTCT